ACTACTACACGGATTTCGAAAGCAAATTTAAGGCCCATATAGAAATTAAGGAACATATTGTATATAATATCCAACGGCACATAAATCTTAATAAAGAATGAAGACATAGAAAACAAGTTCACCTTTCTTTTGGTTAGTACCAATTGCACGGGCAATAATGTGACATTTTAGCTCCACAGAAAGTGAAATATTTCTAAATCTCTAGAAGAGAACACAATCTAACTAAGCAAATTATGTGTGTGTTTCATAATATTTTGTTAGAAAGTAGTTGCCTATATTAATAGGATACAGCTAAGGTCTACTGACTCAACATACTTTTAAAGCTAAGTATTACAATGTGACGAATATATCTTGATGCAAATTTTATTCTGAGACTCATAGGCAGCCTTTTGGACTCAATTAGTATTGAATCCTGAGTCAGTTTTCAGTTCATCACCTTCTTGGCCCTCATATATGATAATTTAACTCTAGGCTAGTTCTCAATGTCTCTAGACCAGTGGTTCTCAGAGTATGGTCTCTAGATCACTGGCATCAATATCACCCGAAAACCTATTAGCCATGCAAATTATCAGGCCCACCCAAGGCCTACTGAGTCTTAGTCTTCAGGCAAGGCGGGGAGGGGAGGGCAATTTGTGTTTTAACAGTTCCTCCAAGTACACAAAGGTTAGAGAGTCACTGCTGTAGACTGTCACTTCCTCTCCATTTCCACAGATACCCCTTTATTTGAGCTACTCACTGTTTCTCATCTAGACTATTGTGAGAGCTTCCTAATTGGTTTCCCTACTTCCTGTCATTATTCAGGTGAATTCTCTTCACAACCACTGCAGGGCTAATCTTTCAACAGTGCATGAAAAAAAAAATCAAGAACTCCTCATTAAGTATTGAATTAAGCATAAATTATTAGAAGATCTGCCTCAAATATCATCTCTCCCAAATTGCTGACTCTCCTCTCCAACTTGGCTTTTCAGAAGATGGAGATGGGTAGAAGTGCCATAAGCAACAAGACTAAGTAGTCTGTTTACTTTTGCCTTCCTATTTCCCTTTCTATGCTTCTGTCTCCTGTCACTTTCTTTTGCTGATAGTATCCCCCTCAACCACCACCATGCTATGCCACCATGTTCAGATGCCCTAAATCAGAAAGAGTTGAGTCGTGGTGTCTTTCCCCAATGATTCCATCAACTTTAAGCAGGGTTCTGAAAGTATGCCTGATTCATTTTTATAACTCTGACCCTCCCCATCAAAACTGCCATTTTCTCAAATTGATTTCATACATATTAGGAGAGATTAAGCTTTCCCAAAGCCATAAGATACTGCTGATTAACCTAAATAAAATGAGAAGAGATAGAATTTCATGTATTTTATGGGCCCTATTTGGGACAAGCAGAACTTTCCAGTTCTTAAATTGGTCCACTCGATAATCTATAAGGCTGGCCCTTGCAATGGAAATAGCAAAGACACATCTTCTTGGTCCCTGCCCATTCCAGCAGAGACCAGAAAGAGAAATCAGCTATTCCTCCATTTCTTTTCCCCATCAATTTCCATCTTAACCCTCAAAATTTGGTCATTAAGTCTAATATATATATATATAATGATAAAAATAATTATTGATATTACTTTCACCATTTTATATAATTATAATAATTTATAGATTTTTTTCAGTGTATGCTCTTACATAACTTAGGTCATTTGATCCTCACCACAATCTTGAGGTTAAGATAAGACAGGCATAATCTTATTGCTTTTCTGGATGGAAATGATATTCTGTGAGGTAAAGGGTCAAATCCAAGATCACACTCAAAGTATTGTGGCTTGAAGTTAAGAATTTTTTTCCTCTCACCACACTGCTCCTCACTGATAGTTAAAATTACCACTGCTGAGAACTGCATCTGATGGACAAGTTCTCAGCCAATCTAAACCGAGGAACCCAATGTACACTGCTTTCTGGATTTTGGAATTTCTTGTCATGGACAGTCCTTGCAGGACACAGACTTCATATTCACCAAATAGTGAATCCAGACATTATCAGTGAGTTCTCAGGATAAACTTTTGCTCTACTCATTTGCCCTTTCTAGTTGACCTTTGAAAGGATCCTGAAATTAGTTCTTAAACTGAGTTCTATCCATATTCACTCCCAATCTACTTTTGTTTATCACTGTAGATTTTCTTCCAAGTTTTTCTCCTAAGTGAAAACTACCCATAAACTCAACCTTAAGAATGTCATATTATAAACCAATCTTACCTTCCATAAGCCTTACTCTAATAGGAACTTGACTTTGAGAGCAAAGGCTATCCCTGAGAATTCCAGCACTGCCAAAATTACCCTACTCCATAAGCAAACACACATACAAGTCATTAAATTCCTCACTGCATCAATGAAAGATTATTAGACAAATTTTAGAGTTATCAGGGACTATTACAACTAATTAGTCCTAATTTTAACTAAGCCAACCCAGAAATTTTACACCATGTTCTATGCACATAACTTGTACCTCCTGAACCTCATCAGAGGAAGCAGAAAGATAAAAGGGCAGAAATTCCCCCATCCAATAAGTCTATTCTTATCCATTTTATATACTCGGTTCTAAATAATAACTCCGTTGCGGGGTGGGATAGTTTTCCTTTTAAAAACTACTTATCTAGTTCAACTCCCATATCTTATAAACACTGAAAGTGGAATTGCAGAGAGACCACATGTTCTGCCTAATAATGACAAAGTTCAGAATTCAATCTTCTATGTCTATTGTTCTTCCTACCACACTATGTGATTGCTGGGACCACCTCATCATTAACTGTACACCCCCATGAAGATGTACTAGTGTTAAGCATATTATATGATTGCAATAAGTATTTAAACTTGTGTTTGTAGATATATATTTTTAAGCAAGTATCTTAAACATCCTGTATATTCCCATACTCACTAGCACAACGGACACTCAATACCATTAGTTAATGCACTGAATAAACAAGCAAAATGTCAGGTATGCTTTAACTCCATATTTTCTGTTTCATCATGATGATTGATAGAGCTTAATTATCTCTTCAAAGCCCCCAAATGGGGTCAACTATTGCATTCAGTCATCTCTATGAATTTAGAGAAAAAGGAATGCTTTGAAAAGTAAAAATGTGATTGTCATCAATTAATGTATAGTTGAAATATTGATTTAAAATCTTTTATGCTTTTCTTCAGTATGGGTAATAAAAGAAACACATCAAATGGCTCACCTGATGCATGATATCTGAAAGTATACTGACACATTCGTACAGAATATAGAATGACAATTCACAAACTTCTCTTGGCCATGCTATGTTTGTCAGTTTCTACGGTGCATGATGACTTCTACTCATTTTTCAATACCTACAAGTCACAGTCTTTTGACATAATGTATCTCAATCTACCATTGAAAAAAATCAAGAAAAGAATACCCTGTTTACTCTTAAATATACTCTAGCTCAGTGATTTATTAAAAAGTATAACGGGAAGAATACAAAACTTAGTAATGAAGTATTAGCATTCATTTTTCAGATGACTAAAATAACTTTTGGTTGTTTAGATATTACCCATTTAATGATATCTCCAGAAGTGAAAACAATTGTCTGTTTAAACAGCAGAGTAAATTCTTACAAAAAACAACTATGGACTAAAAATAAAATTTTAGAATTTGTCAGATGTTTTTCAGGTGAGGATTACTTAATATATAAATGAGTAGAACTAATTAGTTAACTATTACAAACAAGAGCAACGAATTAAGGTAAGCTAATACCTTTTTACCTTGGGAAGGCGAGTTTTGAAGAGTAACTATGTTTCACATGCAATAAAGTATTTAAAACTCATATCGCATTTCCATATATTTTAGAAATTCCTTTATATATGTACTATTATATATAACAGTGATACAAAGTAATGCCTTAGAAGATGTAAACCATGCTATTATTGGGTGTCCATAATTGCCAAAATAATTTTTCAAATGTATTCTATTTTTCCAGGAATCAAAACTTACCTGACATATCGCATTTTCTCACAAATATTTCAATAATGTTATTCTCATTTAAGATTATTTCTAGCAATTATCTGTATATATAAACACATATATTTCTTTTACATACATTTTTGTATTTGAAAGCATATCATATATATTGAAAAATGTGTCAAACTACATTTTATAAATTTGGGAGGTAATTCCTTGCATTTTGATACTCGCCAAAGAGTTCGAATTCGATGACACTATGTTTATATATTTTTGCAAGCTACCTATTAGATAAGATTTTTGCCTTCATTAAATGTTACACAAATATAAAGGGTTACCATGCAAAAGTTCCATATACCCTGGTGCTTCATTAAATAGAATAAATATAAATAGACATATAAAATTACAAAAATTAGGATATACAAGCTTTGCAATTATTTGTCTTCATGGTTTGCATGTCATTATAATCTAATGGATTGTATCACAGTAAGTATCGGCAACCAGCAAGAGCAAGTTAAAATACACACACATGCACACATGTGCACAACCAGCAAAGATGTACAGAAATCCTACATCATGCAGGAGATGTATAAGACCTCATTTTGGATATTTCTTCCATATCACACACAAGCACTATTATATTTGGCAAAATATGTCGGTAGTGCTTTCTTTAGATTATGTCTTTTGTGCTTTTTTGTTGTTGCTGCTGTTGGCCTGCGGCATGCTTTTTGTTACTGTGCTGCAGGTTACCCCTGAAAGTACATATGTAAACCAGTGCAGAATGCAGTTCTAGACGAGCTGTGCCATGGAAAACAAAATGACAGAGAGAGAGGGATACAGGGGGTAGGGAGGGAAAAAGGGAGAGAGATTGATCTCCCATGAGATTCAATGGTAAAATTTCCTCAAATACATTTTGGCCTTCATTTTCCTTTTGAAAACCTTGCTGTGAGGGTCGCCTGCCCCCTTCAGGGTACTGCGCAACCTTTGCAAGAGATCATTTATCACTAGTTTCCACCTTGGAGCAGATCTTCCTACCTTTCCAGTCTTAATTCTGTGAGAAATGGCTGCAAATCGATGGTTGAGCTCTGAGATTTTGGGCTCTATTACTTTCCTGCAGTGGTCGCCACGGTTTGCCATCAAGTTTGCTGCTTGGTCACGCGTGGAGTCCACCTTTGGGCGTATGTCATTCATTTCAGCCTTTAAACGCTATATTCCGTGAGCAAGAGACAGGGCTTAAAGTTAGTAATTAAATGGAAATTGAAAGAGAGCGAAAGAGTGAGAAAGCAAAAGAAAGAGCGAGGGAGAGGGGGAGAGAAAGAGAGAGAAAGAGAAAGAGCACATGGAGAGAAAATGGAGGGAGTAAAAAGCCAACTTCCATAAAATAGGAGTAGAGGGAGAATGTGTGTGACCTCAGGAAAATAGGTCACTGTCCTTGGTTACGTTTGATCTATGTTTAATGAAAGTAATTCCTTAGTCTGAAGAAGGACAAGGGATGTTGTCCTTTGCTATGGAAAACAACTGTTCTATGTTGCTGGCAACAACTGTAGTATTTTATATTTAGTCTTATTTTATCTTTCCTGAATTTCAAAGCTGTGGAACAACCTGAATATGTGCTTAGGAAGGAAGGTAGCTGAAGAACAATTTTCTATTCCTTCTGAGTACTTACAAGTTCCCTTTTTCTTTATCATATCGATTGCCATGGAAAAAAATGGATTTTCTAACAGATAGGAATTCTGTGTCACAGACAGAGGGATTGAGGAAAGCTCTGTCTGACTCAAGGGGATGGAGAGGCTGTAAGTGAAATAACTCAGTTCCTATTTTTCCAAAGACCCTGAAGGAACATCCCTTACCTATACATCAAAGGAGAAGGAAGAGTAAAATAAGGTACAGACAATAGGGTAAATATTTCTGGGGGACAGCCTGAAATACATTTACAGTTTTTCATTAAAAAGGAATTGTAATCCTTAGAAAATATCAATTTCATAAAAAATAAACAAATGAATTGTATAGACAGAAACTACAATTTTTAAGTATTCTTTAAATAGTAATCCACTAGTCAAAATTATTGAAAATTTCAACAAAACAAAGGCATTGTTTAATTTATATGAGACTTCTTCAGATGTAATTCTTCCTATTTAACTGAAAAAACTGTCATCAGATAGAGGTATTATAGCATCAGTAAGTTACATTTGCACATTATACCCCTCCTATCCTTTTACAGGAACCATTTTTTTTTAAAGTAAAGACGAAGTTGCCCTTGAGAAAGACAGCTTAGGATGTCCTAATAATCAGTTTCAATACCAAAAAGAGAGAACATGAAGCCATGTTTAGTTTACATATAGTTAAGAATGAAAAATTCATTTTTATGTAAGCTCAGTATTGTTACTAATTACTAAGATTTAGACATCGCATAGGCAAAATGTCCAGATTGGACTCCCGTTGTTTACTCAGATGGTCTGTGAACAATGCTGAGAAACTAATCTTTGTGTTAGGTACAAGAATATAGTATTACTATTAAAATGGGCATGAATTTGCAATATAACACCAAAATAAATCCGGGAATCCTTTTCTCATCAGATTTTAAGTTGCGTGTAATTAGCTGAGAGGTTGATACAGACAGATATCCAGATAACAGGGCTCTTCAAAGTCATGAACTCCCATTTGAATTAAAGAAGTAGGGAGGGAAGGAAAGAAGGCATTAAAGGAGAAAGGAAAGGAAGGAAGGAGGGGGGGAAGGAAGAGAGGAAGACTTTTTTCACTCTTATTAAGAAGTCCTTTGTATCTTTTAGGACAAAGATAATTGATATATAACTGTTGCACAGTGTGAAAATTACTTTTCATAATAGTTTATTTGCTACCTTAAGCATGTCTTCTTTTTGCTGTGGTTTCTTTTTCTCAGATTCATCCAACAGTGTATCAGCCTGAATGATCCAGTTTGTGATGTGATCCACATTCTGGTCAAAGGTTTCCATGTGTTTCTGGTATTCCTTAATTTTAGAGACATACCATGACATAGTATTAGTTAGACAATATTTTAAAATATTTGTCCTACTTTGTACAATTTTAAAAGACAAAAAATGTAGTATCATTCAAATTACTTTTAGGTGCAATCTCCATATAGAATATAATACAAACATGCAAAAAATATCTTACACTATAGAAATAGATATTGAAATAAGGGCCAACACTTATGCGGAGTTGAAGAATTTGCTAACATAAATACTATGATTTAAAGCTTATATAATTTCTTTCTCATGATGGAGAGGGGCTGAAAATCTTCCAGCCTCTTCTCTTACCAACAAAAGGTTTAACCACTCTTCTGCCCGGGAAGTGACAGCTATCCAGTTACTATTCAGAAGACTCAGTTTATCTTCCACCAAGGTCTCCTTCTTGCCCAAAACTGCTTTCAAGGCCTCTCCTAGCTCTGTAATGCTCTTTAGGTGAAACTTCTGTTTCTCAATCTCTTTCTGAGTAGCCTGTGAAAAGAACAGCATTTGAGCTTCGAGCACTGTCGTCTTAAGACTTAAAGCTTTTGAAATGGCTATGCGTCCAGTTACTATGGTTAAGATTTTTCAAGGGTTTAAACTTTCAACCATGTCTTTAGGAATGATGAAAATCATACCATATACACTGTAGTTTCGTTACTGGGTACATATGAATATGTATGCATACATAAACATGATTGACTTATTTATGGTTGCACATGTTTAATAATAAACATACATACTGTCCATCTAAACATATTCATATTTACTTAATAAGTATTGGCTAAAGGTAGATCTCAGAAAACCCACCCACAAATAAGCAAATGCTTTTATTTATTATTTACCGTATTTTTATTTTATTTTTTTAACATCTTTATTGGAATATAATTGCTTTACAATGGCGTGCTAGTTTCTGCTCTATAACAAAGTGAATCAGCTATACATATACATATATCTCCATATCTCCTCCCTCTTGCATCTCCCTCCCACCCTCCCTATCCCACCCCTACAGGCAGTCCCAGTCACAAAGCACCGAGCTGATCTCCCTGTGCTATGTGGCTAAGCAACTGGTTTTAGAAAATTCAGCAATTATTGCACTCCTGTATTTCTACTGCAGGTACTTTCAAATTTTGGGTGCCACAAACCTGTTTGGCATCTGGTGAAACTTAAGTATCCTTTCTCATAATAATGTTTTTAAAAGGATAAAATTAAATGCAATGGATTTAAAATTAAAAACAATTATACTTAAATAAAATATACAAAATATATTTTTAAAATTTGTGAGATAGTAATACATGTTTTCTTTCATAACATGTATAACTACAATGATCTAGCAACAAAACTTTAGGATAATTTCAAAGTAGTGATTAGCACCACTAGTGTTTTGAATTATATTCAATGACTAGAATGTAATAGAAAATTATCTGTCATAATTTTATCTGTGACTGCTGGCAAAGTCACAGGAACTACTGATACTGCTGGGATTTGTTGCTCACACTCATAACTGAAAAAATGCTTAATTTCAGTTACAAGTAAATTAAAGAGATACTACTAAAATCCCCTAAGAGAGCACCAGTACTTCCTAAGACTTGATTTTCAAACCTGAAAATAAGCACATTTAATATTAGAAATTATGTAGAGAGTTGATGGAAAACTGATCCTAGTATAAACTTTACTGTCAGTTCTACGTACACCCTTTCTTGTGATGTATCATGGCAGACCACATGACCATCTTGCATTTCCCTGCCTCTGCCCCCGATCCCTCCCTCGCCCACATACAGCTGTTGGACCTTCCCTGGTGGATAAGTCTGAGCCAAACAGATACTCTCTCAAGAAGTTTAACTGAGAGATACAGAGACTATGGTAATACCCCAGCTGAGAAGTCATTTGAAATGGAGCTGATATCTTTACTGCAGCAAGTCAAAGCCATAGTAAGACAAAATTACTGGGTAGCAGCAATGACAAGAAGTGGAGGGAGACCTTTTGCAAAGAGGCAAATATATGCAATATATGCACAGAGAATAAGAGAAGTGGTCCAAGTAAATGACAGGAAGATGGTCTCTATGAGGCCAGCATATATCCTTAGTCCTATATATTCTCAAGGTGCATTTCTATCTTTGTAGTATACAGAAATAACTCTTATGGCTGCCTTTCCTCCATACTCTCAGGTCCTGATCTACTCAAAATATATATAAATACACACACACACATATATACACATTTTGCTTTTGCTTTGGCTATCAAATAAGCAGGGGAATAAATGAGGTTAAAAGATGGTATAAAATAATTTCTATATAAAACAATCATTGTTTCTTCAATTCTAATATATGCTTTTCTATTTGTTTTTCTTTTTCAAAAAAAATATCTGAAATTAAGGTAATTAATGCTAAATGAATTTATCAGCTACCATGCAATGGACTATTTGTAATGTAGGTGTTATCTGTTGCACATGAGTGAGCTTAGCAATTCATAAAAGGAATTCCTTCATGTATTAATCACAAATGTTACTGAGCTCCTGCTAAATGAGTCACTATTACAGCAGAGATGTAGGTGATTTTACCTAGTGTCTTTTAGGAAATTATGAGAAATGCCATCTTTGGGTGGAAAAAGCCCTTCTGCAGTTTGACTTGTGAGTGCTCATGGGCTAGATTCCAGCTCTTTCATTCCCTTTGTCTGCACCCTTGTGTAGCACACAATCTTTACAACCATACGTGGTAGCCACTATTCTAGGCACTGTGGATAAAATGATAGAGACACCAAGTCCTTACCTTTATAAAACTTATATTTGACTATGACAAAAATATGAAAATATATGTAAATAAGCATTTCCTACTTCCTATATTCCAGACTAGTGCCTTGTCACTATAGTTCATTTACTCATAAAGGTAACACCTCACAAAGTTAAAGAAAGCTTAATTTATATTTGGATCACTAACTATCTCTTAAAATAACTTCAGAAAGATGATACTATGTTTAAACTTTGATACAAAAAGTCGTTGCGTACAGACATTTGTCCCTTCTAAGCCAGGCAATGCGACTAAAGGCAGTGGAAATTTCCAAATCTCAGAAGAGATCAGAGAAGTTTTGAATTTAGGAAATATTGTTGCAAACAGTTAATGGGTCACAAACAACCATTATTCATTAAAATCTACCTAAATTCTCCAGCTAATTTTCAAGAGAAAATGTTTAATGTCCTGTGATACTTCATTCAGTTAATAAGAACAAGAAAACAGGAAATGTGGACTAATTTCTGGTTTCATTTTATGTTTTTCAATGTTGTAAGGTAAAACTCAAACATGTTGAAGTTAACACCATCATGAACATGAGCTTGAAAAAAACCAGTGTTCACTGTGGTAGTGTATAACTGTTTACGGCCAAAAGTGAATCAGGGGAAAATTTACACTCCTACTGTAAAAAGACCTAAAGTCAAACCTTTACATGTGGTATTCAAGAATAAACTGGTATTGAATCATTTGTATAAATGCTATTTTTGGTTAGGAAAAATATTGTGCTCGTTTAATGGATTTTTTATTTTCCCCCACAAAAGCATTTTTTTTTAAAGAAGATGTTGGAGGTAGAAGTTTATTAATTAATTTATTTATTTTTGCTGTGTTGGGTCTTCATTTCTGTGCGAGGGCTTTCTCTAGTTGTGGCAAGTGGGGGCCACTCTTCATCGCGGTGCGCGGGCCTCTCACTATCGCCGCCTCTCTTGTTGCGGAGCACAGGCTCCTGACGCGCAGGCTCAGTAGTTGTGGCCCATGGGCCTAGCTGCTCCGCGGCATGTGGGATCCTCCCAGACCAGGGCTTGAACCCGTGTCCCCTGCATTAGCAGGCAGATTCTCAACCGCTGCGCCACCAGGGAAGCCCCCCACAAAAGCATTTTTAATTAATGGCATGGCTTACAAATAATAGGATCTTAGATTTTAAAAAATATGCTGATCTTGCTCTGTGAAGATCTTACTTAAATTTCAATGAGTCAATGTACATTAGATGCTTAATACCCACTCTGCACTGTGCCATTCACTGCCAGAGATAAGGAAGGAGGCAGTCTCTGCATACCTTGCTCTAATGCTACCTAAAGTGTAGCTGCAGAGAAAAGTTGAAACACAAGCAAACAATTTGATATCATATTAGAAAGAACATAATTTTGAGGAAAAGATAATTCATGGCTGGGATAAGCATGAATGGCTTCAAGGGAGAGGTGATAATTGAAACCAGAGTTTACCATAAAGGACTGGATGGTTTAGACTGACTAAAGACAAAGTATAAAATGATGAGAAAGTACAAAGGTTGGAATCAAAAGCCACCAAAAGGGGAATATGGGGTACTCACTGGAAACTAAAAACATATATTTTAAGATGTCAAGGAACCATTTTTCCATGCTCTAAAAGTCTCCCTTAACAGAAGAATGTCTATACTTGCAGATGTATTGAGAACTGAATTACTGAATTAAACTACAGCTACTGTGTTGGCCATTCTCTCTATACCCTTACCTCTTTAAGAAAGGTAGACTTATTTATGGGGTTGGTGAGATGGGGAGAAAGAACTGAAAATACACTTCTTCCTCTCAAAAGGCATTCAATCCTCAGCACACATGGTTTCTTCTGTTGCCTTATGAGGTGAGGGTTGGAGAGGGTTTGGGAAGGTCTACCCTTCTGAATGGGCAAGTTCAAATTCAATGATTAAATTGAATAAATTGTAAATCAGCTCTCGTAGTTTTTTCAATCATGCAGTAGTGTGACAGATTCTAGGATCAATTTTAAGGTTGAATTAAAAGCAAAATTATGGACACAGTTTTATTTTGACCTATGAAATGGTCATAAGTCTAGTTACAGGAGTTTCAACAGCAGCTTAATGTGAACTATCTACTTGGTGCTCTGGGGTTTTATGATACAGGAAAAAAAATGTCAGATAAGAGTAGAACTCAATGTAAATATCAATTGCCACAAAATCTAACATTTTTCTTTATTTTCCATATATTTAATTTGTAACATTTGATAGCTCCAGAATAGTTGAAATATTAAACACTAACCTCTATGATTTTAAAGAAACAAATTTGCTCTCTACTTTTTCGTAGCCATAGCAATTTTTTAAATGCTAGAACAATTTTCTTATAATAAAAGAAATGGGTAGCATAGGTTAATTTCTCCTAATTAAGACACCCACCCATGTGTTCATGTGAAGGATGGAAACTACATTCTGATTCATCCCTCATAACTATAAATTAAATCACTTGAGTCTAATTTTAAATGGCCTGAGAGGTTCAGGATTTCACCATCAGCTTCATCAACTCTCTTCACTGATGAGGTAGCAGGCTGGAAAAACCTGTTCTGTCAGGCTCTGTTGATCATAAAATTATGTGATGGAAACATCTTTAATTGATTTAAAGGTAAAATAGTAAAAAGTGTTGGATTAATTATCTGGTCCCATAGGAACACATCCACAGATATTTGCCAACAGGGGCAGAGAAACAAAACCCACTTGCGCTTGAC